CCATGCAACCGCGTACGCAGATCGCGGCAGAGGCAGCAACCATATAACAGAAAGTTCGGCTTTCGTGCACAGAAGATCCTGATACCGGCTCAACATCTTAACTGACCCTACACCCTGCGTCACTCTCTCAGAGTCCTCCTGTCCCTACGATTAACAGCTCCAATAATTTCGACATGCATTTGCCCTCCCCAGGTAGCACAAATGTGGGTAGCCTGGGATTATGAGTCAATATTGCTGACGTACTTGTATCCTTTCAGTAGGCGTGCTTTTATTAGGTTACATACTTACAACTGCCGATTGGGTTAAGGAAGGGCGCTTATGCTGTAAAGTCCTTCGTGCTCTTGCTCCAACTATACTTGGTATACTTGGCGTACAGGCTCCGTCAGGATGACTTTCTCCTTCCCCTTAACCGCCCCGAGAACGAGACGCTGTAATACTGTCTATATAGGCTCATTGCATTGCACCCCCCTCCCACACGGAAATCTTCAGTAAAAGGCGAAATACTTAACCTTTGCGGATAACGATTCAACACGCTTTACAATATGCCTTTAACCTGTAAGTTGCTTCATTGGTGGTAACAGTAGGCGTGCTTTTATTAGGTTATATACTTACAACTGCCGATTGCGTGAAGGAAGGGCGCTTATGCTGTAAAGTCCTTTGTGCTCTTGCTCCAACTATACTTGGTTTACTTGGCGTACAGGCTCCGTCAGGATGCCTTTCTCCTTCCTCTTAACCGCCCCGAGAACGAGACGCTGTAACACTGTCTATATAGGCTCATTGCATTGCACCCCCCTCCCACACGGAAATCTTCAGTAAAAGGCGAAATACTTAACCTTTCCGGATAACGATTCAACACGCTTTAGAATATGCCTTTAACGTGTGAGTTCCTTCATTGGTAGTAACAGGCTGCTATCCCCACTCCCCCTAACACCTATCGCCTTTACGAACCAGCCGCGTTGTGTCTGACCGATAGAGGTGGTGCTCCACATCGCGTTCCATGCGTTTACCGGGCGAGTTTGCAAGGCGCGTAGGTGTTGGGTGCGCTTAATCGATGCAGGTTTGCCCTTCGTGGCTTAGCCGTTCAGACGTTAAACGCGGTCGCTGACTTCGTGTGCGGTCTTCTAAGGCCGCTTGCCGTTTGCTTAGTTTGCTTTCGATTTTGTTCATTTCTCCTCCCTTAACTGCCACCAAAGCCGGGTCAGGAACGCCTACCCGACAATAGGGGTTTAGCCTTGCCTTGCACTATCACGGGTTCAGGTGTACGCCCGGGCGTCCGGATTTCTGTGGTCTCCTTCGGTCGCTTTCTTCTTGCGCTACGGCCGATTCCGTTCGCCTGGGCGGTTTGGCCGCCTTGCGGGGAGAGGTAGGTTTGCCCTATGCGCTTTCCGCTCCTTTTTTCGGTTTGACGAGTAGCGTCCTTGCGACGTAGCCTTCGGATTGGTCAAGACAGGAAGGCTGTCTTCACATAGGCTTCCATCACTACCATCAAACATTACGCATTTAATATCCGTTGGGGCATTTTTGGCTTAGGTTATGGGACCAACAGTTGAGTTATAGTTAGGAATTCACTATTATTAGGCACAGTATAAAAGATTTACAAACTTTTCCCGCAGCATCCGTTCTCACTGGCCAATATGTACACTGTCCGGCCGTTCAGTTGTTTGGACTGCCTACTTTTCCACGGGCCGCCAATATTCACCTATGCGTACAATATCGATAACATATCACTGCTTACCTTTACGTTCATCTGCAAATTATCTCAATGCCTTTTTGGTGCCACATTTATTACACCTAGCCCATGGATTATATTATTATTTTGGTTTACCTGAACGCAAACCCGTCAGTGTGCTGCCGCAATATCCGCAATGTCATTGGTTTACGACAGCGACACTTAACTTGCGTCGCAAGGAGTCCTTTCGCTTGCAAATATTGCACTAAATACGGCGACTGGATAATATCAAGGATCTGTCCAATCTCCGATTGATTATTAGCTTGCGGAACGGCCTTCCGCTTCTTCTTTGCTATCAGCGTTCTATAAGTGGGAATCGTTTGGTAATTATTGAACATATTATTAATTACAGCTACATTCTTCTACCTCCTGCGTATTTTTCATTCATACTTACCGTTGTTCGGGTTCCTCTTCTACTTCCCTGCTTGTCGACGGCATTTCCCGAGGATTCACCTTCAGTGCCAGTACTGTCTGGGGTACCTACAGCGGAATGGCCTTGGGCTTTTGGGTATCTCGTTCCTATTGGTTAAGGTTTACTTTTTAAATTTCCGCCACCTATTTGACCTCAAAAAAATTTACTTATTAACTGTCTACACCTATTTTTCTTTTAATTTTTTTTTAACTTGCCCATGGCTTTTCCGTTTGCCCCACCCTTAAAACCCCCCTTTCCCACCGATCCCGTATTACAGGGACCTTCCTATCGGTTGCAGCATCCAGGCTACACACATTTGTCCTACCCCTCCCCATTCTCCTAATTCGTGTTAAACCTCAAGTGTTCTGTTGTAGCACGTATTCTAGCCCACCATATCTGGGTATTCGAGGCCTACCCACACTCACTCACCTACTTCAAGTAGTTTAGCGATAATATACAACTGTCTGCTGAAAACGATCGTCTGCTAGTCTGTCCGTCTGTCCTTTATTGATGAAAAAAGCATGAACAGTTACCGGAGTCCAAAATATAATCGTCCACACCGGAAACCGCAAGTGACCACTCACACCTTCGGAACGAGACACAAGTCTAACTTCATAACCATCTAGATAATCGCCTACGCCAGGAATAAAAGAAACCAAGAGTTTATTGAAGCCTGGGTCTCGGACGCGAAATCAGTCAATCGATGTATCGATTTGGCGCCGGAATACAGAGCTCTGATTAGCTACCTCCACGCCTGCGTCATTGATCGTTGACTGGCAAGCACACCCCCCCTAGTAAATTATGTTTGTTCTGCTGCTGCGTTTGGCCTAAGATTTTGAAGCCATCTAAAAGTGGGACACTTCTTCGAAACTGATTCGAGTAGGTCGACGACGTATTCTGTGCAGTTTGGCTGGGCAGTCCGCACTGAGCCAATTACTTGCTGTTTGAAGGTTGGCGACAACTTTCGGGCTAGCAAAGGAAAAGCTTATAAGTTACAATTCATCGCTTAGTAGTTAAGTAAGTAGGTTGGCAACTGTGTTGTTTGTGCTCCTCCAAATTGTATCCTGCCTGCCATATGGACGATAAATGACTCATCAGAACATCTCGCTTAACTCGGCACACTACGGCCTCGTGCAGATGGTCTGACCGAACTTCCATCCCGCAGATCGCTCTCACCTTTTTGCTGAGCCAACAGTACAGTACTACCCGAACACGTAGGCACAACCTTCTGCGAATGGGAATGCTTCGATCCGACACGTGACTTCCAATGACAATGTTTTTGCAGACATTGGCATTACACTGGGACAGAACCCCACGCAGGTGCAGAATGACAATCTCAACATCCGAGTTCTCAAAACTAACTGGATGAAGCCTCATCACACGGAATGGGGTGTTTGTGAAACAATCCACCTTTGGCAAACGTGCGTTGTATGAGGGTCGGGAAATTTACCTTTTGCAAAACTGATCATCTTATGGTGCTAGTTCGCAGCAGGCTATCGAGACATCAGCGTAGAAAGAAGATTTAATATTAGTCCGGTATCCGTCCTTAAGGACAAAATTTGACATGAGGACAGCGCCAAATGTTTGGTGGGCTAAAGTCTGCTGTCACAATCCACGATGGTGATCCACATCGGCCTGCATGATGGGTAGATTGCAATGGTGCGCGGTATTGTCTGACCACGCCACCCTAGACAATAAGCGTGAGGTTGGCAGCAAAGTGCTGAAGGGGTTCGGACACTGCAGACAAGATATTGATGATAAGATCGCGATCAACCGGTATCTTTCAGTGTTCAGCGTACCGAAGCAGCTATAATCGATCGCAGCTTCCCAGGCGACGTGGTTTACGTCTACCAACGGGCCTAAACAAACAGCCTTTTCAATATTCACAACTTTTCATCATGAGAAAGCCGACATTGACGGTAGTGGGAAATTGTTCGGCGTGAGCAAATCTCGTTTAGAATAATCAGTCGTTGATACCGTTCGAAGATGGTAAACTGCCTGGCAAGCTCTTTTCCAGTTACAACAGGTACTCCAGTCTCGCACCTTCGCATCTGCTATCCCAAGGCAATCAGGCAGTAACACGTACTAAAGGGACTAAAAGCATGGCATGAAGTGTTCAAGACGAAGATATCCCATAGCAGACAACCTCCAAAGTCGCCTTCTTGGGTGTCACAACAGCTTATCGATCAACGAACAGCTAGGAAGTTCCTTAGATAAATTCATGTGTGAAGGCGAAATTTCGAGTTCCAGGTGTATGCATATTTGAAGAAGAAGAAGAAGAGTCGAGCACCGGAACACTTCGTTTATTATCCTGAGCTTTCAGACTCGTACAGGAGTCCATCGTCAGAGGTAGTGGCAGAAACAAGACAAGCGGCAGTTATAAGACACGTAGGTCCAATCATCGACCGACGTCGCACGACGGGAGGTGACTACGCAGGGGTCTGTACGCCGGCGCCAGATCGATAAATCGTTTGACCGAGTTCTCATCCGAGGCCCAGGCTTCAATCAATTCTCGGCCTGTCTTGTTTCCGGCGTGGGCGACTATTTTGGTGGCTACGAAGTCAAACTCGTGACCCATTTCGTAGGTGTGGGCGGCCACTTGTGATAATGCGTCGCCTCGCCGCACAGCCAGCTTATGTTCGTGTATGCGCGATCCGAGCATGCGTCCAGTCTGTCCTGTGTAGTTACAAGGACAATGTTGACACGGGATGCGATACACTACTCCAGATTGCTCTTCAGGTTTTAACCGGTCTTTGATTTTCATGACCCTGTTGCGCATGGTGGCTTTGGGGCGGTGTGCAATTCCAATACCTAGCTCCGCAGCAATGCGCTCGGTCGCTTCTGAAACACCCTTGATGTATGGCAGAGAATGCCATATCGTCGGTGGTGTTGATGTTCGAGTTCTCTGGTGGCGACCGCGTAGGCAGCGACGAAATCATGGTCTCCTTCGATGTGACGTCGTTATTCACATCCATCCCACCAAACGTGGCCCGCGAAGTCTTGCGCAAGAGACTTGAAGAGGCGTATGATGAGACTCAAAATGCCCTCAAAATTGAACACCTAATGAGGCTGTTTGAATTCTGCCAACAAACTTTCTTTACTTTTGCGGGAGAGACCTATGAACAAATCAAGGGAACCCCAATGGGCTCGCCGGTCTCCGGTTTGGTGGCAGAACTGGTCCTACAGGAGTTAGAAAAGATTGCCTTCCTCCAACATGAACCGGTGTTTTGGCGACGTTACGCTGACGACACGTTCGTCATCGTAAAGAAGGACATGCTGCAACACTTATACAGCCTGCTCAACGCGTCTTCCCGGATATAAAATTCACGAGGGAAGAAGAACAGGAACAGCAGTTGCCCTTCCTGAATGTGCTCGTCAGACGAAACCTTAACGGTGAACTTGAAACGACGGTTCATAGGAAGGCAACGAACACCACACAGCTTCTCAGTTTTCACAGCAACCATCCGGTGGCTCACAAACGAAACTGCGTGAAGACGCTCTTCAAACGGATCTAAACTCATTGCAGCAAGCGAGAGGACAGAGCACGTGAGGCCCGTTATCTCCGCGACCAGTTTGTGCAAAATGGCTATCCGAGGGCATTCATAAGTCGCTGCCTACGCGGTCGCCACCAGAGAACTCGAACATCAACACCACCGACGATATGGCATTCTCTGCCATACATCAAGGGTGTTTCAGAAGCGACCGAGCGCATTGCTGCGGAGCTAGGTATTGGAATTGCACACCGCCCCAAAGCCACCATGCGCAACAGGGTCATGAAAATCAAAGACCGGTTAAAACCTGAAGAGCAATCTGGAGTAGTGTATCGCATCCCGTGTCAACATTGTCCTTGTAACTACACAGGACAGACTGGACGCATGCTCGGATCGCGCATACACGAACATAAGCTGGCTGTGCGGCGAGGCGACGCATTATCACAAGTGGCCGCCCACACCTACGAAATGGGTCACGAGTTTGACCTCGCAGCTACCAAAATAGTCGCCCACGCCGGGAACAAAACAGGCCGAGAATTGATTGAAGCCTGGGCCTCGGATGAGAACTCGGTCAATCGATTTATCGATCTGGCGCCGGCGTACAGAGCCCATCGTAGTCACCTCCAGTCGTGCGACGTCGGTCGATGATTGGACCTACGTGTCTTATAACTGCCGCTTGTCTTGTTTCTGCCACTACCTCTGACGATGGACTCCTGTACGAGTCTGAAAGCTCAGGATAATAAACGAAGTGTTCCGGTGCTCGACTCTTCTTCAAATTCATGTGTGATGTGTAGTGAGATGCGAACACTACTTAACGAGCTATACGAAGTATATTAGCCGAGCAATGCGCCTAGTTACGCCCGTTAAAACCGTTCAGCGCCACTAATGTGCAATCAAGAAGTTACGGCCATTGAGAATTGGACAAACCGGTTTCCGTACACGTGAAAACTAAGGAGAGTAACGCCCTACTCCTCTGTTAGTCGGAACACAGGCGCAGAGATTAGGGTGCAAGAGGCTCAGCAAAACACGTGCCCAGCAGTCTGTAGGGTTAGCGATCAAACAAATATTCCGGTTATCGCGCCCACGATTGATGATGGCCTTGGAACGCGGAAAGTAGTCCACAGAGGTACCGCATTTGTTATGCTGTTGCTTAGCAGGGATAAAAGATGATGAAACACGTTTGAGGGCAGCTCCCCGGCGCCAGAGAGACTGGACTGCGAGCCAACATGTGTGCATTATAAGGGTCATGGCTATTTAGTACAGACCGTCGACTGCTGAGCCGCAGTGCGCAAGTTTGGCGCGGACAACGAAAGCAACTGCGTAATTTACGTACATGTGCGCGAATACCGAAAAACCCACGCCAATCAGTTGTCCTAATTGCGGATGGGCCGCGGTCATCGACTGCCAGTGTTTCGGCCCTTGTGGGAGCGGCTTTTATTGGCAACGTCACCAAAAGCCTGCCGCTAGTGGAACGGGCAGGACCAATCATCTTCAATCTTTTCACCGCTAACAATGATTGGCCAAGCAAGCCGTTCACTTCTAGTCCACAGTAATAAGACCAACAAACAAGCAACGACATGGGAGACCCCCCGAGGAAGGGTAGCCTGATGGTTGGTTGGCCATGCTCGGCTGCATTAAGAAACCGGTAGACATCATTAACTTCTCACAATAGTCAGTTTTAATTTTCTAAGTCAGTAAGTGGTTTCGGTAGTGGTCAGGGGTCTCATTTATATTTATTACCGACTTGACCAGGCGGGAAAAGGGAAACTGATGCAACTGAAGCAATTTCCCGACGGATAGATAGTGCATATACGCGTTCGCGGAACAAGGTGACGGAGGAACCACAATTCCACAACTCTTAACAACAATTAGCGGCCAAACTTTCTTGCGCGTGTGTGGAAAAAGTACAAACCACGTTGGCAAAGACAAAGGTCAAGCCGGCATTTCTATCAACAACCATCTCACCGGCCTCATGCAAACAGCCCGGCGCTCGCGTGCGTCGCCCAGGCATTTGGTAAACATACGCCGTGATTCCGTGACTTACATTCTTCTCCTTCCTTAGAATGAAAACGGAAGAATATTAATATCTATTTGTAAACTCATATGAGCAGACAGTAAGTCCCAGAATCAGGTTTTATCGATCTACCTGGCTTCGGTCGTTGGCTCCCAATGTAATATACCACTCCGATGAAAAGCGGGCTTCTCAGGCTGGTATGCTAGTCATTATGCAGATAACGACAGGTCGTATGGCCAGTAAAAGATTGAACGAAAAAATTGACGCTAGTATGCGGAAGCCACCATTGGGTACCAGCTCGGGTTGGAGGAGTTCGACATGCACTCCCCGTTCTCCATTACCAGACGTTCTCTTATGGAGCGAGGTGACTGGATCGAGGGCAAAGACCCTATCCTAATGAAATATGAGGGCATAGGACTTTGTTTAACCTACAAGAGACTGGGTTTTGGGGAGCAGAGCAGATGGAACACAGCGACGGCTTCAGGAGGTTATAAGCTGTTGTCTCCGGGGCAAGTGACGCAGATACCAAAGTTCTTGCGGCAGAATAGCAGATTATTTTAACTGGGAAGTAAGTTACGGCGGGTACTTAGCAAAAGAAATCGTCCAAATGTAAAAATCGAAGTACTTTATAAATAACCAGTTGTTTATCGGCTCCCAACAAGGATTGAGAGTAAAAAGATACAACGGAAACAGAAAGACATCTAGATGGACAAGCAGTCCCAAAGGTCGACATTTGGCGCGCTAAGGCATCACTCTAAAATTCGAGGAGGCCCTCGACACAAACACGGGGAATGAAATTAGTGATTCCGCACTGAAAAATGAAAGTCAGCAGTATTCTCGTCCTCTCTGCGCGCACGAGCGCTACAGAACGATAAAATAAACGGGCGAGCTATGCCACAAGAGATGAGAATGCCAGTGGGACGCGAGGCCGCACAGAATAGAGGGATTTTCAGATAGAAAATGTAGTCGGCACTTGTGTGCAGAGCTCAAAAGCGGCAGTCTGAAAATTTACATAACTGCGGGGCAGGTTCGACCAAATGAAACAGAGGGAAGAAGGAAAGAAAGTACACAAGGAAACTTACAACCAGTTGGGAGAAGGGGCAGGGGAGGTAGTCAGCCGACAAATTCGCAAATTCAAGGTTGTGTTACGGAAAATACCATTGCGGAAGAATGTTCGCAGACGAAGGAGATCCGGTGTCGCATGTGAAGGGCCTCGTACAAGCCAAATGAGAGACCGAGGCCCGCAAGTAACAGATCTGACTACGAAAGAAGCACAAGTATGTGGGCATCATTTTAATGCTTCGACGATTTTTGAAGTGATTCCGTGATACTCCGTGGATCTCCCGGAAATGCGCTTGAAACGCAAGCCGTTTGATGACAAACGAGGCAACCGGCACACCTCCATCTCCCATTGCACACAGACATCGGTACCGGGATCGCCGTACTGACAGGCAAGTAAAAAGGTTTCCAGTTGACGACATTTACAACCATGTTCATGTAGGACGCGTTTCATTTCTTCGACAAGTTCAAAAGGATCGCTGTTGCTGACGACTTCAACTGTCCAGGTGAATCGTAAACTTCTTGGTTCCGTTCGCTGAATTGCGGGGATGTCCAAGGGGAAACTGTCGCTCAGTGTGCTAACGGTCAGATCACTGGTTGCATCTCCAAAGTGTGGAGCAGACACTTCGCCCACGGAGGTGGTGTCACCGACCGATTCACCACCAGCCCCTGAGGATGTTGTTGGCGCAGAAGTGGGAATGGCGAGGATGGCATTGTTTTGACTGGGTTCCGTCGATAAGAGTGACGTTTTTAGGCCTGTTGAGGCTGTTGCAGGGACTCCAGGGTCAGAAGCTGGGACGACGGTCTTAGGTGAACTCCTGCTGTAAATTGACATAATAAAACAGCTACACCACACTAATTGGACAACAAAGACGGGACAGGCCGCGAAAAATTAAACAAAAAGTCTACACAACGCGGTGCATGCAAGCAAACATTCAGGAAGAATGACATCCCCGTGCGCTGTAGCTAACCAAGCAAGCAGAAGAAAGCATAATTACTGAGCCAGATTAAATGGTAAAAAGCAGGCACGGATTTACTTCCAATAAGCGCACAGATCTAGGGCGGTGCGCAATCAAAACGAAAAACACTATTTCGATCAGAACCTGCAGCATGCTTTTCCCAGAAAAAAAAACTACTACTTACAGGACAGACCACGAAAGCAAGCAGGATATGCCCATGAAGGTCAACATGGACTGACTTGGTTCACACGCGCTAACAGATTTCGCGGAAGGCTCCCCAAACCAGCGGTGCTACGCAAATCGCGGTACTCAGCGTCCCATATGCCTATTAACGACATCCTTGATGGCTGAAAACCCGCCTAAAATTGCGCTCGAATAACCTTTTCGAACAGGTTCAGTGAATAAATGTACCACGCAGCTCGGAAATGAGTTTATGTATAAAGAAATTATATGCACCTTGTTTCAGAGAAGAAAACGCATAAAAGAGCTCCCATTAAGTGTGAGAGCAGCAACAGGGGGCAGCACGAAAGGAACCAAAATCAACGTGAAATAGAAGAGAACGAGGACGGGGTGGAGGTGGGGACGAGGGGTGAACCTATAGCCGGAAAATTTTGGAAACGCCGAGGGCGAGAGAATCCCCGTGTCGTAGAAGTGCATGAAAACGTAGAACAAGTGCAAGGAGACTTAAAGCACCAACACACCCCCAAAACTTTACTATATGCACTAACAAAGTAAAGTATTTGAATGGAGGAAGAACTATCACTTTATGCGTTGAACAGCCAGCACTGTACACTGGGGGACAGGCTAATGTGGTCAAAAGGCAGGATAAATGAGTTCAGGGGTAGTTGTACGGATCTTGGACTTCGCGGCGAGGCAGTGCGATAATTTAGGTGAAGGATGTCCTATCAGCAAAAAAGAGCTTGGAACACGGTGGTGGGAGATACGGAAGAAATATGTACAGGAACAGAGCGCGGTGGCAGGAAAGCGATATTTTGGTGTCGGTGGTGCTGAAGGGCGGTGATAAAAACGCGTAACTCGGAGTGTGACACGCATAGTGATCAAAAGGATGGGTTAAAATGAAGAGAAAGGGCTACAGCTTAAACGTTACACGACTAGGTAGATATTATAAGTCCATTGATGATAACGGTACAGGCGCCTAATCGGCCGCTATGACCGGCTGTAAGAAGAATGAAAAGGCGGTAGGACTGCATAGAGGAGAGCTGAAGACTATAGAAAAAAGGTAGTGAATGAAGAACTGAGGCTCAAACGGAAAGGAAGCTAAGTAATCACTGTTGCCCAACGCACATCAGGCCTCTCGCGCAAGAGACGCACGAAAACTCGCCAAAATAGATCGATGTGCAATAGCTACAAAGGATATACGCGGTTTGAGCGTTGTAATGGTACGGAAGAACTGTTTGCAGCAGCACCAGAGGGGCACGCCCGCACGGGAGGCGTGCGGGCGAAACTGAACGGAAGGATGACAGGAAAATATGTTTTACGGGGGGCGAGTTCTGGGGATTACACGAAAATCATGCGTCTAGACCTGTACATACAGAGAGAAAAATGCTTGCGGGTGTATCGAGCTGACACACGAAGAACAAGTTTCTCAGTTAGGCAGCGTCACAGGCAATAGATATACTGGCCTGCGAGAAATCCAGGCTTCTTGGAAAAACAATTACAATGGGGCAAATTGTCTGGTTGAGTGCAAGCGTCAGGAGAACGCTGGACACAAAGTATGGGAGAAAATGCGAATATTAAGCCTGGGGCAGACTAGCCGCGGGACCCAGACACCGCAAATGTACAAGAAGAGAGGTCAATGAATGCGAGGCAGCATTTGTGGAGGGAGAAGGGTCGTGGTGTGTCACGGAAAGAAAGTACATAAGCACACGCACACAGAGAAGAAGGCGTCTGTCTAGAAGGCTGCGCGATCAGAGATGGTCGCGGGAACAATTGTTACGGACACGAGCTCTCTCATGCAAACGGGGACACATGATCGAGGAGGACCATTCGTGACTCCGCTTTTTCGGTCTAGATACACAGGCGGAGGGAGGAGCGGAGAAATGAACAGAGGTAGATCATGATCACGATACACGAGAAAAGCACACGCGGCGGTAGTGGTGGTGTGGCTAGAACTTTAACGCGTCAGAAACCTTTGTTGCAATGTTACGGAATCCAATGGATGTTCCGGAGATGCGTTTGAAGCGAACGCCATTCATGGAGAGACGCGGCAGCTTGCAGACCTCCATCTCCCACTGCACGCTGGCATCAGTGCTTGGATCACCATAGCGACAAATCAGAAGAAATAGTTCTGGCTGTTCAAACTCGCAGTTGTGTTCCGTCAGGACCTTTTTAATTTCATTCACCATGACTAGCGGCTCCTTGTTGCTGGTAGTTTTCATTGTCCAAGTGAAACGCAGACTCCTCGGTTTGGGCTGTTCGCCCGGGGGAATGTTCGGGCCGTGGGAAACGGGCGAACTATCACTGGGGTTTCCGCCGCCACCATCGCCTGCATTTGAACCTGTAATGCCTTCGCTATTCAAAGTAGGCAGATGATCGGATGCCGATGCCGTTGACCGATGTGTCGAGGACTCGGAAGCAACATCCACTTCAATGTTGGAGGGCTCGTTGGTGGAGATCTCAGTTGCCGAGAGGGTGGATGTTGTCAGACTGGATGCGTCCGTGGCCGAAACAACGGACGCTGTCATAGCAGCCGCGGGCGTCGTGGAGTTACTTTTGCTGTAAATTGAGATAACAGTCAGGCATAAACACTACTGAATTCTTAGATGCGTAAAAGTAATCATGCAGCGGCATCGCCGCTAGCAGCAAGCGTTTTGACGTTTCATTGGCGGACCAGGGTAGGATTAAACGATGAGATGACAAAATGACCACATCGCTGTTGGCATTGTCCGGAATCACTTGGGAGCGGTGTTAATCAAGTTGTCCTGGCTGGAGGATAGATGCTCCATCGTGCATTGGGGGCTTACGCTAAGGATCTCACATGTGGTCACGTGGCGTCAAGCAATCAAAAAAGGCAAATAAGTTTATTTAACAAGTCCGAGACTGAAGTGACCATCTCTGGAGCGTTATCCTTCAGCTGGAAATCATCGTTTTGCAATGCCAGATGCCAGTTCAGAAAGGGTGCGCGCCTTCACAGACAGGAAGGGGAAAGTCAGGTTAGCGATAACGGTTGACGGTCTTACCGAGGGTCGTCGCTCATGGGTGGCACTGCCATGTACTAGGTTAGTAGCGGCAACAGCCGTTAAAATGTGTGGTGTGTCTAAACATTCAAGGGCTACGGAAGTTGGGACTGGGAATTAAAACCGACCGACGACCGAAAATCTGATGAAAACGCCACTCCAGTCACCGCTTGCGATTACCAACCGAAAACTGCCTACTGAGCTTCCAATGCAACCAAAACTAGAGTAAACAATAAAAGCAACATCCTCATGATTCAGAGCTAGAGGAGGTAATATTGAATAAGTTAACATATGGTAGAATGGATTCAGCCGGGATAAAAATGTATATCAAATTCTACGGTAGTGTACAACGGATTTTTGAAGGTTAGAACCCTCAAAGTACTCTTGGCCGACGCAAACCGCTGCTAACGCACATTTGAACACGAATTTCACATCTCTGATAGGCAGCGGATTAAAAAAGGCAAAAACACAGGGGTATGAGAGAGAAAAGCGTTAGCATTTTTGAAAGCAGCCACATCATAGGCCCGAATAAAGCAAACTGAGCAGAATGTTGATAAATGCTCATTAAATGCAGGTAGGGAATGGAAGAACTTTAGAAACAACGGCTGCAGGCACCCCCGTAAGCAACACTCAGGGAACAGAGGGCGCCCAGAAATCTCACCACGGGCGAAGGCGGTGGAGCTAAGAGTAGAGTCTGAGCACAAAGTGACATATACACTTGTTAAAACTAGATAAGGAGGGACTAGAAACTTACCCTATTCCTATCTTGGTCTTTATGTTTTTAAAGAAACCAGCGGCGCCAGATGACTGGCTTGAGGTGGAAAGCGGTAGGCTAACGTTTCGTGAGGCAACTGTTGTCGCGCTGGGTGGACTATCTGGGAAGCTGGAGTCGAGATCGATTCGCTGGGGAGTAGCAGTGTGTATGGTGCGCCTTTCCGGATTTAGACGCGAGAACATGCTGGTAGTAGCGCTAGGAGTCTGATTGGCGCCCGGCACATTCGCCTGAGGACCACCAATCCCGGCTAGGTTGGTGCGACCAGCAGCACTGACAAGCGGGCCGCAGCCAAGAGTGTGCGGAGTCGTTGGGGCGGTGCTGGTCACCCTGTTGCACAAAAAGAAGAGAGTCAATCAATGGGGGGAGTTAGTTAAGAACTTGAGGTCACATTTAATACACGCACATTCAGAGAGCGCTGTAGCCGACAACTGAGGTGCAAAAGGTGAGAGGTCGTTAGTTATGTTACAAAAAGGTATTCAATGCGTAGTTCGGCAGCTTGTGTCATCCAAACGGATGTGAGCAAAGGATTTTCTTGCACTGATAAACGTGAGGGAGGGGAAGTGGCATGAAAAGATAAAGTTGGGTCTGAAACACAAGGCTCGAATTACTGGTTGACCATCACCAGAAGTTATTTCAAACAAACGACAGCAAACATAGGCCACAATTTCAAAATAAACAACGACAAACAGTCAGTGTAATCTTCTTCGCCAAAGCGAGTAAATTTTGGGAAAGCAGGAAATGAGTGCACAGAATTATGTTAGTACTGTAGTATAGGGGTGGATCGGGGCGATTACAAAGACCGTTCTAGTGAGTACGAACAAAAATATACAGCATGTAACCCAAATCATGAAAGGCTATGACGGAAATTTAGGCGACCAATTGTGGACGAGTAAAATGTTGCGAC